AGCGTTGCTCGTTGCCGGAATCCAGAGCGCCAGGACCAGAATGCCCGTGATGCTACAAACCACGACAAAGATATTGTACGGCCCGACTTTATCAGAAAAGGCCCCAGCCCCCATTCGACCAAACAAACTACCCTGCGTCAGCACACTGCCATCAACCTACTCCCACCCAGAAAAGAAACCACTCACCTCCCGGCATTCAAAATGGCCAACAAATACTGCGCCAATTCCACACTCATCCCATCCGCCAAAGCCGACGTCTCCAAATAATCCACGGGAATAAACACCCCAAACGTCAACAATACAAACCCACCAACCAAAAGCATCATCCTCACATCGCGATACGGCCGCAACAGCGCCTCCTTATCCATCTGCTGCTTCAAGGGCGGCGTTCTCGTCCGCACCGTCAGACAGGTCACCACCAACAGGCCCAGAATCAAAAAGGCCGCAATGCGCATGGCCCACCCATAGCCCACCCGATCAATCAAGCGACTCACCATGATCGGGAAGATAATGCCGCCCGCACTCGACCCGGACGCCACAATCCCGTATGCCGCGCCGCGTTTCTTATCGAACCAGCTGGGAATGGAGCTCATAGATGGTTGGAAGATGGCACATAGGCCCATGGCACTGCAGACTCCTTGCGATAGTAAGATCTGGTAATATTCCGTTGAGATGGAAGCCATCATGAGACCGAAGACATGAAGGAATGAGCCTGTAATGATGACAACGCGGGCACCAAGCCTGTCACTTAGAGTTCCCACTATCGGACCCTGGAGCTGATCAGCACATCCACCCAACCCACCCCCGAACAAAGCGAGAAAGAAATACCATAAAAAACATAAAAAACACCTCCAACGAAGGAATCCACGCAATCGTACTCGTCGAATACCCCTTCAACAAAGTGCTCCCGTAATACGTCTGAAAGATCCCGATGCCTAGTATATAACTATGAGTTACCCATACACCACACACACACACACACACACACACACACACACACACACCCAGAGAAAAACACCAGAAACAGACAAATAAATAATGAAAGGGAAGGGAAAAGAGAACGTACTATTAATCCACCCAAAACTACAAAACAACGAACACCAAGCCCCCAGAACCACAGACCAGGCAGCCAGGCCCCCATCAGGAGGAGGAGGATTAGTGAACCATGCGGATTGGGGGTTTTTATTCTCGATGTCTGATGGGGGGAGATCATTCTTGGTGTCTTGATTGTTTAAGGTGTTGGGTCGGTAATCCCGGACTTGGTCTTGGTCTTGGAGAGGGTAGAGGTCTTCGGAGGGGGACATTTTCGTTTTTTTTTTTTTTTTGGTTTCTTAAGATTCTTTTGATGTTTGTAGAAAAAGAAATAATAATTGAGTGAGTGAGTGACTAAAAGGGAATAGCTGGATTATTTGAATGTAGGAGAATATGAAATGGAGATGGAGATGATAGATTAACATCTATGATGAGGAAATTTACATGTCTTTATATTCATATCATTCATCTAGAAGGCTGTTCAAAATGGTAGGGGTTTTAAACCGGCACGGGCGTTGGTGAATGGCCGCTCCGCTCGTGCTCGGACTCGGACTCGTGGCTTAGTGCTTAGTGCTTAGGGAGGGGTCTTTGATGTGGAGCTGGCATTTCCCTCCTCTAGGTAATCGTTGCGATTAATACTATCAATTATCTGCTTCGAAACAGGATTATATGGTACCTTTGTACCTTTTTTTTTTTTTTTCTCCATGCTGTTCATACGTCGTGGCGTAGTAAGCTGTCACTATGAGAATATAATGCACCTTCTGACTATAACTCAAATAGAGTATTATCATCTCCTAAGTTGATTTTTTTTTGATCGATGTTATCTTTGGATTCATGTCTGTGAGGATAAGAGCTTCGAAGGGATATGTTGATTGTCGAGCTCAGAGGGAGGAGCTGAAGTGAGGTGATGTATGTAATTAATAAGAGTGGCTCCGTATGTGAGTTGAGGAAGTATACATGTGCTAGAGTGGGCGATATTCTTGGTATTGAAGGGGGCGGGGGATCAGATGATGATGAGGAGATACAAAGCTGGGTATTGTAAGGTTATGTTATTAGTAGATGGTAGGGTGGAGGAGTTCTTACGGTTGTTTAGATTTTTGGATGACATACTTGATAGGACTCTTGAGGAGTCTTTGACTACTACTACTACTACTACTACTACTACTACTACTACTACTACTACTACTACTACTACTACTACTACTACTACTACTACTACTACTACTACTACTACTACTACTACTACTACATGGACCTAGTGTATTACTTAAGACACTACAAGTATCTACACTAACTTCAACCTAATCCCATTAAAAGCATATATACATCCATTAGTATTGATATAATTTCTTCCGCTTGATAATTGAGTGCCCGAATTCCTCATACTCCTGCCTCGAAATCCATCTTTCCTTCAACGACGAATGCTCTGCCATCATCGACCCCCCAATCCACGCCAACAGGTGAGGATTCGGCGGCGTATGAATCTCAGCCGGAATATACTCAACACATGGCATGTCATCGACTTCTTTCTTCAACATCTGGGCTATGCCGGGGAGGTGAGCAGTACCGCCGGCCTGGACTATTAGCTTGTCTCGTAGGGTGACGGTGGTGGTGACTTACCAATACAATATTCTTAGTGAGAACGGTCCGAAGATCTTTGTCGTCGTTCTGCATGGTATTGAACACGATTGCAGCAACGGATGCATATTTGAGGCCCAATGTGCAGGGATCAAGAAAGGCCATTCCGGTCCGGAAGCGCTCTTCATCGATAGTGATGATTTGGCCGTCGGGGAGGGTGTATGTGCGTTGGAAGGACTTGGGAGATTCGGTAAATCTTTCGTATTCATCTCCCCAATCGGGAACGTAGCAGAAAGATTCCTTGATGCGACGGACGTGTTCGTATCCCACGCTAGTGTGGAGCTCGTAGCCACGTTCAGATAGCTTGTAAATTAGATAGTGGGTCAATTCATCGCCCGCGGTGTGGGTTTGACGCCATTTTATCGGATGGCCGTCCTGGATGGCTACGACGTCGGTTTTTCTGTGGCCGGCTTGGATGATGAGGCCGGCGGTGCGGCCTGTAGCGTGCAGGGAGAGGACGGGGGATGGGTACAGGCAGAGAGACGGAGGGTTGAGGCTTTCGAATATCCATTCGGCTGTGTCTTCTATGTGAGGGTAGTAGTATAGGAAGGACTCGGTGAGGAGAATTGGGCGCTGAGAGTCGATGGGGATGTGGAGCTTATTGGTGATGACCTCGTGCCAAATCTTTTGGATCTGTTTGTATCGCAGTTCTCCTCGTATACCGTGTTCTTTCAGGAATTGAAGCTCGGATAGGACTTCGTCGCCGAGGTAGCACTCTTTTTGGCCTTTGTCGCGAAGTAAATGGCTTGGTTGGGTTAGAGGGTTGGTAGTTGAGGAAGTTGATGATATTGTACCTTGTTTGAGGTCGGGGACAGCCCACGACGGATCCTGGATTATTAGTTGATGATGGGTTGAAGGGCGAGTGACATACGGTAGATAGTCCGAGGGGCAGTTTCCCCGGCGAAGCCAGCTTTGCAGGTAAATGAACTGTGACGATGGTTAGAGTCGCAGTTATAAGGGGTGGTAGGCAATGTACCCATTATCGATAACAATCGGAGTTTGGTCTGTAGCTGTTATACTGTGGTCATGGTTATTGAATAGGATGACATACCTGCCATGGTTGAGATGACTGCAAGACGAGCAAGTGGGATTGTCTGGTGCAATGGCCCGATTTATCAGTGAATGGTACCTTTGCGTTAGGCAGCACTTCTTGCCACTGCCCTAGGAGCTGCACCCATGCAGGGATTCTGAGACAGGATGACGTGAGATAAGGCTGTGGACATGTCAGAACTGACTGTGGGTTTGTCTCCATAAGTCCTGCGACTACCTATGTCATTCCATCACTATCCCAGCAGTATCTTCTTCCTACTTCATGATTGAGCCAGTGCACTCACACCGGTACATGCAGTGAATTGACAAACAGCACAGTTGCTTTGACCCTAATCACCGGGAACAAAGAAGTCTTTCCAGTAGCCGTGGGAGGGGTTCGGTCAATGGAGGGAGCGAAAGGAGAGAATCCGAAGTGAACAGACTGTACCCGAGGCAATCATACGGTCACCCTTTATCTGCTATTACAGAAACATGATCTTGCACATCTTGTGCTATTGGATTTCCGTGAAATTTCGAGGGAGAGACATACATTAGACACGTTGAGAAAGAGCCCTTGCAGCCAAGGAGATCTGTAACAGACGGGACTGCTCAGATGATCAGACTGACAGCACCAATAGAAAACCCATCGAGTATTGGTATAGTGTTGGACCATATTCTCCAGGATTAAGAATGGGAATCGCTCTTTAGTCTATGCCCTGGGTAGCAAGTACGTGGGTTTAATCCTACGGAGTCCTTGATCTGGATCCATAAGTTGTGTTTTATAATACTGTGTTCCTGTTTCACAGAAGCTGATACCTACTAGTACAGCAGATCTTGCGACGTTACTCTCAACAATTTGTCTATATCACTGTTAATATTGGCTGTTTTAGCCTCAAATTTCCTGAAATCGGTGTTTAATACATTACTTGGATTTATGTCCCACTAGAGACTAAGTGTCAATATACTCAAGCGTTTAATCTTATTTCCATTTCGCAGTAACTATACCTATTGAAGTACCAAAATATATCATAACAAAGCCTGCCAGCACTGCAGAAAGACCACTTACAACAGCAGATCCTGAGCTCCAGCATCCGATTATCTTTACACAAGGGTATGGTTCTATCATACGTCTTTAAAACAAGCGCCCGAGCGCTTCCACACCGATCAGCACACATGGTGGGAAGTTCCAAAAGCAAACAGCGAAACACAGTGTTCTGGTCCGACAGAGTTCGAATCCAGCTCAAATCATTATCCCAGAGTGCTTGTATATACTGCTCATTAAAATATTATCATCATCCAAAGGCAAGGTGGTCGAGTGGTTAAGACGTAAGACTTGAATCCAACCGGATGTTATCTTATCCCTTCGGGGTCGCGCGTTCAAATCGCGTCCTTGTCGTTTTTTATTTTTTCAACCGGATACGATGTATTCGAGCCGATTTAACTGGTTAGAATTTTTCAGTCTGCTGAATGGTATTTGGCGGAATATTATGGGAGAAAGGGAATAAGGTGTCATGGATGTTCTGTCTCGTGCGGGTGATGCCTTGTTGTCTAAAACCACCTAGGTGAATGTTGCTGGTTTATATACTGTTTTTGAGCTTGATTCAATGACGCAGTGAGTGTAGAAGAATGCGGGTGACAATGGGTAAAACCCGAGGGTTTATTTGCTGGACTTATAAGGGCGAGTTGGTCTTTCTGGGGATGCAAATAACGAGGGTGTTGTATATTTAATTGCGTATAGCACATCGAGTCAACCCCACGCTACCAAGGAGCCACATGACCTAACAGAGATACATAGTAAAGACTGATATATGGATTAGACAATGTGAGTACTGGTAGATGATTCTATGAGCAGGGCAATAAACTTCTTTTGCATCTACGGAAGCTGCTATCAACCGGGTGTAGGAAGGTCGATTGATAGAGTAATAGTACTTAATTTATATATAAATAGTGAGATCCTACACACAATCCTATCCGAAAGACAACCCAAATATTTTTCATACATGTATTGAAATATGTACCGAGTATATATCAGATCCTATCCACCTGACTAGTACTATAGGGATAACGAGCTCATCCTAACCACATAGTTAGTCTACAGAATCAGCTACTATCCTTCTTCACCATCCCATCCATATCAATACCCAACTACAATCACAGTTACAAATACGAATACCACTACAACCACAAGACAAATTATACAATGCAATCCGCAAGTTCTCATTATCTAATAATAATTAGTATGCCACCGACCAGTTCATCACGAACCTGGCGCCACCGAACTTTCACAGCTTTGCATATGATTATTTCCAGCCTGGAACACCGATCATCACTCCATCAATCCCTCCATCATCTATTTCCAGCACCGAGCACTCAAAGCAGCGGTTCCATGCTCGTGAAGAACGGAGGGACTGTCACCCTTGAGAGCGAACGGGTCACCCTTGCAGTCACGTTCGCTGTATCATCAATCAGTCGAGTTCCCTTTCTGAACAAGAATGAGGAACTTACAAGTAGAGGTTGCAAGTCAAACCGTGAGCGAGCTTAACGGAGTGAATGACGCCCGAGGAACTACCCCAACCAGTTAGTATTAACTATGGGATATGAGAATGGAGATGGCAACTCACGAGGAAAAGCAAGATCCATCACCGTCACTCCAGGTAGGAGAACCGTGGTAGAACTCGAGCGGGTAGAGCGAGGCCTCGGTGTTTTCGAGGGCAGCGTCAGTCGCGGCCAAAGCGGGAACGAAGGCCACGATGGCCAGGGAGAGGAACTTGGCGAATTGCATTGTGATTGTCGACGGGGTTGAGAGGTCGGGGGTGGTGGTGGTGGTGGTTGTTGTTGTCGTTGGTCGTTGTTGTTGGATGAGGAGGGAAATGGTGGTGAAGATAGATGGTTTTATAGTTGATTTTGGGCAAGGGGATGATGGATGATGGATGAAGGTAGGGTTAGCGAGGTACGGTTCGGTATGATGCATGCCGGGGGTTGCAGATGAGTGGGTACGGGGAATGCAGAAGAACAGGGTTATACGCGGGAAGTAATTTCCGCCTTGATTGAACATTGTCGGGATGAATGGGATCCAGGGAGGGGGACCCCGCGTGTTATTTAAGGTAGTACAGGGGGGAATGTAGGCGTGTAGCCATTGTATGAGGATGGGTTGAGTTAGTATTGATTGATTGATTGATGGATGGATTGATTGATTTGATCGTGTTGTCTACGAGTTGATGTGATCTCGCTACTATGTACATAGAACAAACCATCAATATATCATATATCATAGAAGAGATTCTGTTATTCTCCTGTTCAATTCCACTATCCACATGCATAACCCTAGAGGGGGAGAAATATCTCGGCATTGGCTGATTACTGTTGCCCCACTGTTCTGCATCCCTGTGCCCCTGCAGGAACCCAACGTCCATACTGCAATCGCATAACCCGCACGAAGCTGATTACTTGAAAGCACCGGAGATTCACGACCAGCTCATTCATCCATGAATGATCATTCTCCTAAAGCAGAGTGTGCTAAATACCTCAACTATGACTTATTCGCGCAAACCACACCCAATTCTGACTTGCATATTCCACAACCCTAGCTCAACATACACAAACTACGTAGTACATACTCCACACACCCATCAATCCCACCTACAAAACTCCTTCATACAAAAAAAAAAAAAAAACTCACAACCTCATCATAATAACAAACCACATACTCAGCCCCAACAACCCCCTCTCCCCCCTTCTCCCTCCCTCCAAGCTCTACTTCCTAACCACCACGCCAAAAACCCTCGGATACCTCAACAACACCCTCCCATCCTTCCTCACCCGATATCCCTTCTCCCCTCTCAACGCCTCCTCATACGCTTTCAAAAAAGCCTCTTTCTCCTCCCCCTCCCCTAACCTATCCAAATACGGCCTCAACCCCGTCCCCTTCACCCACTCCACAATCTCCCCATGACCCTCCAACGCATGATAATACACCGTTCTCCACACCTTCACATCCACCTCCACCTCCCCCCCAACCAACACATCATAAATCTCCTCCGGACTCTCCACCTCCTCCCTACCCACCCCGCGTAACTTCTCCGCCCATGGTCCCCGTCCCGCAACCTCCCTCATCAACACATGCGACGGCTCCCCCAACGTATCCGGCATTTGAAACGCGAATACCCCGCCTGCCTGTTGCCCTCTTACTAACTTCTTCACAATCTGTAGACGTTCGCCCTTCGGCAACCAGTGCAACACCGCATTTGAGAAGAATAAATCCACTGGTCCCTGAGTTGGGTCGGGAGTGTAGGATTCCAAAGAAGCCAACGTAAATGTTGTATTGGGGTGGGTGGTGGTGGTGGTGGTGATGGTGGAGTTCGCTTTGTGGATCATATCAGGGGAGGAATCGATTCCTGTGATGGTGGTGTTGGCGGATGGGTAGCGGGTTGCTAGGAGGGCGGTGGAGTTGCCGGGGCCGCAGCCTAGGTCGATGATGTGTGTGGGGGGTGATGTTAAAGGGATGTGAGTGAGGAGGTCTTGGGCGGGGGTGTTGCGTTCGGAGGCGAATTTGAGGTATTGGGTTGGGGACCAGGTGGTCATTTTTCTTGTTCTGGGGGTTGGGGTTGGGGTGAGGTGGGGGATGAGGGATGCAGGGAAGCGGGAATGGCGGAACATGAATCTTGAAATGGGGGTTTGGTGTTTGGTGCTTTGGATAATGGGTGGGTATGATAGATGCTTTATATATTTTTCTATGTGGTTGGTGTTGAGGTGAAGTATCATGAGGTTCTTCGGATAGATGCCGGTTCATGAAGTGCCGATTCTCGGAGGGAATCTGATTGGCCTGGTGGACTTGTTCGATGGGTTGTATGATGACGGGAGATGTTGCTCGGGCAAGTTTCCTCCGGTTGGGTGTGCGTATTGAATATAATGTGTGTATTACGATTCAGCTTGTTCCGGTTCTCGCTTTATGTAGTTGAAGTGTACGTCATGGAGTATTTCGTGGGGGATGGACAGATTTGGGTATTGGTAGGATATATACATTGATCTATAGAATAGTACAGCTCGGATTGATAATCCGCTTACTCTGCCACGACATACACAGTTGACAGATGATTAGCCGCGGGAAAAGATATGACTTAGCATTGTATGCCCAGTGTTTTGGGTCCTGATAGTCAGATTCAACGAATGGGTGAAATAGATCATCGGTGCTTTAAGCCAGCTGTGATGATATACCCGCTTCCGCTATAGAGTAGCCTGTCTGAATGACACCTATTCTGAGATAATTGCCGGGAAGTGCCTGACTGATGAAGCTATGGTGGTTGTATGGAATTGGTGCTGAGGAAGGTATACTGCACAAAAGGTGTGAGCTATTGTTGTCTCAGCTGAGGTGATACTAGTGGGAGTAAGATATTCGTGAATATGTATACCGCTGGCAAAGCACAGTGACTATTAATGCATGCCAGCACATTAATATTTATACCCCCAACGACTGTGGATATAGAGCTGCAGAGGGCATACATGCGCAACTATCAGCTAGTGACTATCCAATGATCCATTGTAGCTAACTTTAAGCTTAGAGACATTTGTACATTCAACGAACCACAAAAGCAGGCGGTACTCTCAAGACACGAAGTCACCAAACAAGATGATGAGAGTGAACAAGACCAGAAGATGGTCAGGTGATGCCGCCTCTACAGTGCAGTGTACCCTTTACATCTGCTCCTTTGCACCCTCTCCATGTAACGATTCTCACCATATCTCATAACATAATTCCCAAACAACCCCCCTTGGAACCCAAAGTACACCCCCGGAAACTATCTCAAGCGCAAGTCTCCACTCATCTGTCATACCCCATCCTCCCCACCCACCCACCCACCATCCATCATGGACCCTAGTTTAAACCCAAAGTACGCCAATCTACCTACCACCCATTTCCCCAGCCATGACAATATCAAATCTCACTGGCAGGTGCCAGTATCTAAAAATATACTCATGCCCAACCAAACTAAGTAGAAAATAGAAATATCATAATAGAGTTCAAATACGAAACCTATGACATACCAATTTCATCACCTCTATCCAAGACCAAGAACCATATTCTATTCTCCTAGTATATGGAGTAAATCGAACAAGAAGCGTATAAATGTAAACCAACCCTATTCATTCATCCATTGAAGTAAATCTTTTATCCCATGGGAGTCTAGACCAAGCCAAGCCAAGCCAAGCCAAGTAAACCACCAGCTAGCTAGGTACTACCTACCAAAGAACCAAGAATCAACCCATCGGTCGATCGGTCGGTCGGACTAGCCGGATGTGCCGCTGTAGTTTACCAGTCTCAACCAACCAACCAACCCAACCTACTTCCTTACCTAGTAGATAGTAGTAATTACCTATCTAAGGTAGTAATCGATTCCA